AAAAGAAGTAAAAGTAGAGAAATTAAAAATCAAAAAGGTAATTTTATGAAAAAACTTTCATATATTAATATAATTTTATAAGAAAAGATAAAATGCTAATAAAAAATATAATTTATTAAATTAGTAATTACAGAATTACGTTTAGATATTTCAGATTTGACAAAGGAAGTAAAAAAACTTTGTTATAGAAATCAAACAATAATGTCTTTTATATCTCCTAATTCTTCAACTAGTAAAAATACTAATAGAGTATGAAACAATTTAGAACCTATATAAAAAAACTTTTCAGATTAGTGTAAATTTTAAATTTGATAATTTGCATTTGATTTACTATTCAATTTTTTTATCATTATAGGATGATATTATTCAAATATTGAAACGCATGTAATTCAAAATATTATACCAATTATAAAAAGGATGCTTGGTAAAAGATTTCAGTATACTAACATAGAATTGAAGAAAGTTTTATAAAATCTTCATCGCCATCGAAAGGAAACATATCATATTTTAATGAATCCTCTAAAATCCAAAGCAAACAAATAAAGAACTAATATAAATAGTAGAAGAAAAGATGTAAATATTAGTTTTAATATTCGTAATAATTTAGAAAACGTTGTAATAGAACAAAATTAGAATTCTAGTTAAAACAACTACGATATTTAGATAAATTGATATATTATATAATATGGTTATTAATACTCAATGAATTATAACAATACTTATCAATTTCTAATATCATAAATATGTATACAATAGGTTGTATAATACTATACTTAAAAATAAAGAATATTTTATTTAGAAAGAATCAATCATCGTTAATTTATTTATTTGTAAAATTCATTAATTACTTAATATCTAATTATATTATTTATCTATTTATTACAAAAAAAAAGATAAGTGTCGAAGAAAATTATAATATATAGTGAATACTAAAGACTGAACGCTTACGAATTTACAATCTTTAACTATGAAATAGAACGATTGGGTTAAAAACTTAAAAGAAGTCATTGACCATTCAAACTATCATTATAATGAAGTATCTAAATCAGATGAAGATCAAGGTTAGTATTTACTATTTGTAATTAATGCTACTATAGGTAAAGTATTGAACATTTTTTTTCATCATTTTGTTCTTTTATATAAGCACAAGAAGAGAAAAATGAGAAGATTTGACTGTCACAAAATGAATTTTCAATTCATGTGTTATATGTATATTATAAACTGTAGAAATCTCAAAGGATAAGTAAAGATCAGAATGTATTATGTCTTAATTTATATATATTTTATTTAATTATTAATATTGAATTGCATTTCAAATTAAAGTAATATATTTATCTATTATTTAGATTTGAACTCACTTGTAATATACTGATTAAAGATGATGTTGCAACATTGTGACGCTTATTTATCACCTGTTGTAACTTAAATTTTAATAACATTGCAATTCATTGCAACATTATAATACTTATTTATCACCTGTTGCAACTAATTGAGGTGTTATCTTTAGTGCTAATAAAGTAGATGAAACTATTCAAAACATAAAAGTAGCAAGAAAAAGATGATACGACGACTAGTTATATATAAAAAATAATTTTAAACTGCCTTTTAATACACTAAAGTGGACTATTTTATTTTTATACTAATTTGAACAATTTATTAAGTAATTTTATTTATTTATTAAAAATTTACAATATTTTTTATTTTATTTATATATTTTATGCTTTAATTATTCAAGATAAATATATTTTTATAAAAAATAAAATTAGTAATATAATAGGGGACTTAGCTACTATCAAAAATAAATGTATTATCTAGCGAAATTTAATAATAAAATTTAATTATATATTATATAAAAATAAAACAATAAATATAGTTCTCAAAAAAAGTAATCAGAATTACAAAAAATGTAATAAATAAAAAACTAATAATTGAAATTACTTTAAATTTTGCAGATTTGTTATCAAATATATAAATATTGTGTATACATAATTTTAGCTATTCATCATATCTCCATAACTCACAAACGTCCTTTAAGTTAAAAAAAAAAAATATTGTTAAAAATTTAAGCAGTAAAAACTTGAAAACTTTAATACAGCATTTTTAATCACAATTTATTAAGATTAAATAGCTATAAAATCAAAGTTCAGACTAGGCTGATTCATTGAAAAAAAATTTGATACTTTATGATTCATTAATTGCTGAGAAAATTAAAATTAAAATTTATTTACTAAAATAATCTCAATCCTTAACAATAGCTAAAAGAATAAAAATTTAAAGATTTTAATTTAAACTATAATAATTATAAAAAATTATTATATAAATTATTTAATGTAGATTAATAGTATTTGAATATACAAAAAAATTTATATATTTAATATTAAAATAAGTACGATTATGATCTGCATTCTATATATTATTTTATAGTCAACTTTAATTTTGATTTACCAAAAATCAACAGATAAAATAGCATCAAAATTTTTTTCATAAATCTATTAAAAGGTATACTTTTTATATTAGTAATTTTTTTTTTATATGAATATAAAAAGCTGTTTATTGATATTTGAGGTATTATATAAAAACTTAACAAATTTTTCATTCTTTAAATTTTTAATGATTTTTTTTTTAATTAAAAATGTGATTATGAGACAAGGAGTTAAAGTAAATAGCCGAAATTTTATATACATAATATTTATATATTTATTAACAAATATTTAAAATTTAAAGTAATTTCAATCACTAATTTTTTATTTATTATATTTTTTGTAATTTTGATTATTTTTTTCGAGAACTATATCAGATAATGCAGTATATTATCATTTAGCAATTTATTAATAAAAATATGATTTTATCTATCATATTTATTTTATACCTTTGATTCTATTATTATATATTTCTAATAATGTATCAATATATTAAAAATTTGTCTAAAAAGATTACTACTACAAGAATTGATTAATGAATTATAAAATTGAAAATTGATATCTATATATATCTAAAATGAAGGTATCTTCTGAATCTTTGTATAAAATAATGGAAGAAGCCTATACTTTTCTAGATATGTATTCAGGTATGGTATAGTCTTTACATAAGCATTATATAAAATATTAGCAATCATATAGGTTAACCATGATAATACATATTGCATCTCTAATTCTCTAACTAACTGATCATTAAAGTGAAGCTCAAAAGTACTAGGAAGATTCTGAAAACATATTTAGAATTTAAAACGTAGTAAATTTTCATTTAATTTAAACTAATACTATTCTATAATTTCAGTCAGAACTTTGAATATAATATTTTAGCATTTAAGTTAACCTAAAACTGATAAACTAATAGAATATTTCTAGTTTTATGCTAATTTTTTACCATGCAATGACACCAAATCATGTGTTTTAAAGATTAGTCAAAATTATAATATAGTGCTAGCTAAAATTAATTGCAGATTTATTGCGCTACTTGTTCATCTTTTTTACACTACTTTGATATCTTAAAAAGATAACCAAAGAGGCATACACCTCATCCATATTTATTAACAAATAGGTTACAGAAAAAGAAAACAGACTATCATTAAAATATATTAATTAATAAATTATAATGCTTTAAGATATATTAATTAATAAATTATAATAATTTAAAATATATTAATTAATAGATTATAACATCCTAAGACATATTAATTAATAAATTATATTGTCTTAAGATATATTAATTTTGTACAAATAGTGTCTTAAAACATATTAATATATTAATATATTCAAGAATGCTATTTAAATTAAAAAAATTATTTTAAATAATAAAAAAATAATATAATATAAAAAAAATAATTTTGTAATAATAATATCATAAATAATTTTATATTATATTTCAATTAATAATAAAATTTTATAAATAATAAATTATTAATTATATTATATTTAATTTATAAACTAATTGAAATAAAATTTTATTTTAAAGAGTTATTTATAAATTTATTTATTTAATAATTTTATTATAAATAAATATCTTAATAATTATTTTAATAAGTTAATTTTATTATCCTTTAAACTGTAAGTATAAATTATTTCTAAAATATTTTAGAAAACTTAAAATATTTTGATATCTAATGATTATAAAATATGGAATAAAATTTTTAGATTTATCATATTATGATGTATCTAATAATAGTATTTTAAACTTTTAAAATTAATAATTATTAATATATATTAATTTTTTAATTTTGTAAAAATAATTTATTATCTAATACTTACAAAAATATAAAATTTAATTTATTAGATTTATTATATTAAGATCTATTAAATGATAGTATTTTATATTTCTAAGATTAATAGATAGCAAATTATATGAATTTAAAATTTTAATTTTTTTTATAATAATTTATTATATATTTATCTTTAAAAAATCACTAGATACTTATATTTTTTTTTTTTTTGAATTTTTACTTAAAAAACATTATAAAATTTATTATAAAAGTATTATAATTTTTTATAATATATTTTAAAATAATTAAAAATGATTATAATTAATAAATAAAATTGCCTGCAAATTTGTAGGCAAAACAATTGAAAAGATATTAATTTAATTTTAGATAATTTTTAATCTATAATAAAAATATTAATTAAAATATTATAAAAAATTAAATTAGAAAATTTTTTAATATTTTAAAAATTAAATATAATTAATAAATTATGTTATTAATTAATATTAATCTTTTAAAAATATTTTATCATATAAAATTAAAATTTAACATTTACTTTTTTATTAATAAATGTAAATTTTTAATATATTTAATATATTTTTTGAAAATTAAATTTTATATATATTTATATATATATATATTTTATTAACATTTACACATATATCAATTTCTTTAATACATCAAATTATATAATTTCTTTTATTTTATACTTTTTCAATAGATTTAATAACCATTTGATGTTTATCTTGTAAAGCTTTAAAAAACAAAAAATAAAATTCAATTGACCGAGTATTGATATAATTATCTAGTAAATATTTTTTAAATACTGGCATAAATTGAGAAAATAATTTTCCTTCAATTTCATTCCAAGGTTTCCCATTTAATAAGTCAGTTATTGTTGGATCAAATCTATTATTTTTAAAATATTTATTTAACCAATACTATTAAAAAAATTATTTGTTAATATTATTATATTATATTAAAATTATAAATAAATTATTAATTATCTTACCTTCATTATTTCAAGTTGTTGCTCAAAAGTTTGTGATTCATTCCATTTTATTAAAGGATTTGAGGCTTTAGGACATTTTAACTGAAATTTTGATTTATAATTTTGTAGTGATGGTTCCGATAGTTTTTCTGATGAGTTTGATATAACATGTTTCTTTTGAGATGATGTTTGAATAGATTTTTGATTTTGTGACAAAGGTGATTTTTTAACTATAGTAGAACCTTTACAAAATGACGATATCTTTGAATTTCGTAATCTTTTAAGATTGTTTTGCTGATTCTTTGAATGTATGCAATCGGCATCGGAGTCATAAGATCTCTTATTACTGGTAGAAGATCGTTGTAATGATGTGAAGTTAGGATTAGATGAATTTTTTATTCTGGATTGAAATTGAACGGATGATCTCTTTAATTCATCAGATCTTTGGACTTTTGCTTTAACACCAATACTTTGAGAGTTATAAGATCTCTTCTTAAATTGCTGTAATGATGTTGAATTAGATGAATCTTTTATTTTTGATGAAAGATGTCGGACAGTAGATGGACCAGTATTAATGTTTTGAAAGTCACAAGATCTTTTTTTATTAATCGTAGATTGTTGTAAAGATGTTGAATTAGATGAATTCTTTAGTCTATTTTGAAGTTGAGAGGTAGACGAACTTGACATTTCATCAGCTTTTTTGGTTTTTGGATTAACCCCAATTTTTTGAAAGTCAAAAGATCTCTTATTACTTGTGATAGGTTGTTGCGATAATGTTGAATTTGATGAATTCTTCGGCTTGGGTTGAATAGGGATGGTGGAAGACCTTAGCATTTCATCAGATTTCTGGAATTTTGGATCGATACTAACGTTCTGAAAGCTATAGGGTAACTTATTACTAGTGGCGGAATGTTGTGTTGATGCTGAATTAGATGAATTGAGAAGTGTGACGGATGACCTTTTTGTTGTCGTTTCATCAGTAAAAAATTTTTGTGCTAAATAAAATATTATTTAGTTTTTTTTTTTTAAATAAAAAAAAAACAAAAATTTGATATATACCATGAAATTTATGTTTATTTCTAACCAATGAAGGTTGACAGTCAAAGCTATTCATTTTTAAACTATAAAGAAAATTTTTTTTTTTTTTTTGATATAAAACAAGAAAATGGGAGGGAAAAGAAAAGAAAAGAAAAAAAAAAAAGAAAAAGAAAAAGAAAAAAATTTTCCTGATCAAAAAAAAAAAAAAAAAATTTACGCCCCTTTTATATAAAGATTTTGAGTAATTTGAAAATGAAAAATTTCAGTTTATTTGATTAAGTAATAAAAAAATAATTCGCCAACTGATAACAAAACGTGCCTTATCAATGAAATTTTTTAATTTTTCTAAATTTGTATAAATTCGTATTCTTTTAGTATTAGTTTTACAATTGAACATATGAAAAGTTTCGTTAATGTCTTAAAAGGTGATTTGCCGTAAAAAAAAAATGTTTGTGCCACATCACACAAATGAAATATTCATTGTGACTGGTAAAACAGAACATTTGTCTGTGCATGTGTAATCTTATCTAGTTTTCATTATTTAAATTTTTTGGGTTTTTCAAATTTACAGTTGAATTATGTCGCAAGTAAACAAGTTTCGAAAGCAATTCTCGAATAAAAAGATTTTTGTTTTTGTATCACGCATTTCCTAATCGATGAATCTAATGCTAACGTCATCATATTAAGCTTAAATAGTTCCACATCATCTCTTTAATATATCTTTTAAAATGTTCGTTCTTCCTTCTTCGGTGTACTAAATTCCTTGATGTTAATAGATGGTCTTTTCAAAGAAATGAGATTCAAACAATACCGACTTCAAAATTCATATGGACGGCATCCCTTTGAATGAATGTCGGGAACCTTTGATAATAATAACCGTATATGCAAAGTAAATTACATCGAAAATATTGCGATTTTTTTTTTCCTAAAAAAAAAAGTGAAAATACATTCCTGAATCATTACGCTGAAATTTACGCAAATTATTGGAGATTGAATAGGATTTCTACAATAGCAGCGGTAAAAGTTAATCACTTCCTTATACTGAAATATCCAAAAAAAACGCGTCAAAGATGAAACCGTTGTTAAGTCCGGAACGATCTTAACTAAAAAAAATTCACATTGTATTTGCTTTATCTAGACTTTTGTGTGCAAATACAAAGCGAAAACGGACATCTTGAGTCAAACAGCATAGAATTATATAGTCCTTCACTTCGTTCCGGACTAATCCTCGCAAAATTGATAATGTTTCACATACTGTTATAAAGGGCGAAGGAAAGGATTTGAGTAATGATGATTTCAAGCTGTTACTCTATATTAAAAAAATGAAGAATCGAAAACATCAAACTTAAAGTCAAAACCTATCCTAAATCTAAATTATTCTCGACAATACAACGGCTTTCCCGACGATAGTGATACTGACACTTTTTATCAGGCCTCCAATAATTATGTCGAATGATGGGAAAAAAATATGAGACTCTAGGACATTACAAAAGCAAGATCAAGTTATTTGCATTAGCGATGATGAGCCTGTGTGCGAAGAAATGTTTAATAAGATTGGAAAAAAGAAGATAAGTAAAAATTTTGACACTTTATAATCCTCGTAGTGGAAAATTAAAAATACGGTTATTATAAATTTATATATTTGTTACATTACAATTAATTAACAATTATTAAAATTACTAAATTTGGTTAAAGATGATTCTTACCATATATGGTAGAAAATAATTCATTTATGGTTTATGCTCATCAGTTCAAATAAAAATTTTAAACCTTCTTTCTTCTACAGTAAATTTTTTGTAATTGCATTCTAAATAAATGGCGCGCATTATATGTGCACTTCCTAAATGTACTCTAAATTTCAGTTGCACATTCTCTACACACTCTATAAATGCACGATTTTTTAAAATTCACGTCTAAGGTCCCAAAGGGGATGCATTAATAGGGTTGACTGTAGTTCCCTCAATTCTTCTCTTCCTCCTTCCTTGCTTTTATGTATGTTATCTTATGGAAAGATACCAAAAACAATTTTGTGGATTGATTCTAATATTGTAGAAATTTGTGAACATATATCTTTTTAATCCAACTCTTTACGATTCTGTGTTTTACTGAAAGATTCAAAAGGCTCGTCACTCGCAGGCTGGATGGCAAATAATCTCTAGTCAGGATATTACGCATTACCAAATTAATTTATTATTATTTTCAAGACTGCGTTGTTTTTTTAATATTCACGAGTGATAATGATATCTTGTAATTGGTTCTAGATTGATATTCCAGAGCATTGCTAGTTGTTAAGGTGGTAGTTCCATGTAAATTGTTCATGGACTGTTATCGATATTGCTATGCCTATTATCCTATTAACCCATCTTTGATTAATAGATGGGATTAATTCACATTATATCCATTTTTACTAATAAATGTTCGTGTATTCCTAAAATAGGGAGCGAATGTCAAGTTCCTATTTTTTATCATAATAATAAAAAATGGAAAGTAAGATTACTTTCTAATATTGGCAGATGAACAATAGCTTAATCACGTATTTTTTTCAACATTTTCAAAACATCCAATATAATTTTCAATTTTCTAAATCTTTTTAAGCACTGCTCGTCCTAATTTATTTATTTTATTTGAGCTGATTGCTTTCTTCTATTTCTATTTCAATCCATTGTTGTGTTGCAAGTGAGCTGAAGATCATCTACAGTATTATATATGTTAAATCAATATAAACTGTTGGACCAAACGTGAGTCAAAGTTATTTATCATATCATTCTTAACTTCGAAAAAAAAAATTTTATTAAATCATTGGTTAAACTGATTAGCATCTATTTAATGATATGATTTGAATATTAACTGGATTGCTGATTTTTTTTTAAATTCTTTTTGTGCTTTCATAACAGAAGTTATTGCGATTGTTCTAAATTATTTATTAAATAAAATTATTGTCCTCCATTTTTTATTATTCTAATAAACTTTATAATCATACAAATAATAATTATACAAATTGAAATAAATGATTTAAATACCGTACATTCTATAAAAAAAAAAGTTTACAATAATTGATTAAACTTGTTTGCTAATTTAGAGTATTTTGTCGAGATGCTCTCTGTCGTTGTTTCTCTAGTAACATATCAAATTCTCTATTAACATCCTCATTTTCTTGCAATTCATGACTATTCTTAAAAAGTGTAAATGCACCGTTAGGAATTGACTCCTTACATGCATAAACTTTTTCATGAAATTGTTGTAGATGTGTATTATAATCAACTTCAGTAGGAGTCGTTGGCGTCGTTGGCGTCGTTGGTGTTAAGGTATCGGGTGATTGCACCAAATCTTCTGAATTGAATAAATATTTGGCAGATGTGTCTACTACCGGAGGCTTTGGCTTTGTGTTAAGAGATGAACTTGATAATGAGCGTTTGAGGATAGTTGGAAACGATCGTGTTCGTTTGGTGGATGATGAAGATTTACTTTTGAGACGCTCTGTAGACACATCTCGAATAAACACATGCAAAATCTGACTTGGATATTGCTTTGCTATCTTAGAATATCTAAGGTTAAATTTAAAGAAAAAAATTCGAACATTAAATTAATAAGAGAGAGTCAAAACTTAAAATCATAGTAATAATAATAATGATAACATTCAATGATTACATTTCCATATCAATTTCACCACTATCTCCAATAAGGATAAATTTTCGATTAGGAAAGTCCTCAAGAATTTCTTTAATGTATGTAATCTTTGAAAATCCTGGTTCTTCAAAAAGGAAATTCTTTAACAAATCATTATAAAATTTTAAATGTGCTGAACCAGGTGGAAAACGTTTTATAAATTGTTTTAACATTGGAAAGAGTTGCCATGGGGAATTCGAAACGTAGTGAATTGATGCGCCTTTGTTATACTGATATTCCAAAAGTTAATTAAATATTAGGGAAAATAATCATCAAGAAGGTATAATTTATGAATCCTTTATACTAACCCATTCCGTATATACTTCTGCCATTCCAGGAATCTAATTTATAAGTAAATATGAAAAGCTTGTTTTAAAAAAAAAAATGGTATGAAAAAAATATCAAATCATAATAAGCAAATACATACTTCTACTAAATCGTATAAAAATGTGTTTGAGAGAGCGGTGCGTGGACCACTTGTAATTTCTGTTAATTTTATTGTATCATCAATATCCTTAAATAAGAAATGATTATTTAATGTCGAATTAGGAGTTGGATAATAAAAAAAAATTTGAATTCTGTAATATTTAATAATTAACGTACTGATATAACAGATATCCCTTCATCTTCGATTAAACATGCGAATCCATGTGATGGACGAGCTATAAAGGTATAAATAAATATTATCGATTTGTGTAACTGAAAATAATGTCAAGGCTGATTATTACATACTAAGTTTTCTCCCTTCTGGTGTAGCTTCCAGTCTCAACAATCTCACGTGATTTCCGTCTCTGATTCCTTCTTTTCGAGCTTTATCAACCCACTCATCAACAATCTCTACCGGGATTTGGATGGTACCACAAAAATGTCCGGTATTACTCGTGATATGAGTCGATGGATGAAGATCCTGGTAAGCTGTTGATGCTTCACTCAAATATTCACTTACTTCGTCGTCGTTCTCATTTACTTCAGGGTCTTCATCTAACTCCATATGTGTTGGATGGGCTAAGCTGACTATTTGCACTTTGTACTCTTGGTTTCGAAGATTTTTTGCCAATAACATTGAAAATCTCTCCTCTAATAATCTACTTTTTTCTCTACTTTCTTCATCATCTTTGTGCACTCCAGCAAAACGTTTTGCCATCCCTATTACCAACTTTTTTCTTCGGCTTTGTCTAGTTCCAAAGGCCCAACCACGAACTCGCACCAGCCATTCGGTATTTCCTTTCTCGTTAACTACGCGTTTGGCATACGAGGGTATCAACATACAATTTTGCTCTAATTCAGTTAAAGTTTTTGCTACTTCGGCAATACTATTTTCTTCTAAAGAAATTTCAGAAATTTCTTCAGTTGTTTTTGCGTCTACGTAAATTTCATTTATTTCTTCTTTTACTCCATTTATTTCTTTAATTTCTAACTTATTAGTAACTTCTGAGGAAAAATATTTTCTTTTAATAAAATTAGTAAAACGTTGTTTTTCCATGATATGTGTAATAATTTATAAAACAACGCGTGAGGGAGCATTTTATTGAACATTGCATGGAAAAGGTATTCCGGATTTCGGTGCACAAAATTCGAACTCGTGTAACTGCCATGTTATTTTCTGTTTTTTTGATAATCTCAGTTATTAACTTGGTGTTTGTACAAAATAGTATAGATTCACAGCAATTGTCCAATAAAACTATCGAAAATTTAGATTAGTTCCCGAGTTTTCCGATAGATTTTCATCAAATTTGATAAATTTTCTCCTATCCTGTATATATTAGCTTGATGATTCCTTGTTCAAATCTTTCCTATATATTCCATTTTTCACTTCGTTTTCTTTCATTTATAGGTTTTTTTGATGCTTAATAGCAATCAAAGTTATGGCTTTCAAGTTCAATTGGCCCGATTTTACTACTGAATTCGTCGATCAAGCCAAACAGTTGTTAACAACAGCGCTTAATAAAAGTAATAAGCCGGCGAACATAGTAGATCATATCGTTGTAAAAGATTTGAATATGGGCACAAAGGTCTGGGCACGTCCTTACCCTTTCCTTTTATTTAACGTGCTGTTGGTCATAAACTTATTTCAATGAAATTTTTTATTTAGGCACCCGAGTTAGAAATAATGGAAATTGGAGAATTAGCAGTTGATAAATTCAGAGGAATCTTCAAGCTGATATACAGTGGAGATGCTCATTTAACTTTGCAAACAAAAGTGCAGGTATAATAAATAACAGTTGGAATTTTGAAGTATTAATCATTCTCGATTTTTATTTGTTAAATTTATTTTATTTTATTTTATATTTTCTTTTTAAGGCAAATCCAATGAATAGTAATAAATCAGATGTAAGCATGTACACTAGAAGAGGAATACTTGCAGCTGATCAACCTCTTGTTGTACCTATGCTCCTTCGATTAAGTAACTTAAAGTTGCGTGGAATTATTGTATTGGTAATCAGCAAACAAAAAGGGATTACGCTTGTATTTAAAAATGATCCATTAGAAAAGGTAGATGTTACATCTACTTTTGATAGTATTTCTAGCATACAACGATTTTTACAAACTGAGATTGAGAAAAGATTAAGAATAATGTTTCAGGAAGATTTACCTTCAATTGTTCACCAATTATCGTTACAAAAGTGGCTTAATGTCAGTAAAAGAAAAGAAGAAACAACGTTAAAGCGTGAATTATCGGAAAAGGATCATAATTTTGACCGTAACCCCCTGCATCATTTACCTGAAAATACTCCTTATGATACCATGTCTATGCCAGACCTTCGTTATCATACACCATTATCAACTCCAAGTTCAGAATTCTCGAGCATTTCTCCAGAGTCATCATACTATGCTGAGGATAGTTATTCTAATATGGGAGACCTCGATTCTTTAGATGGTTACCCAGGATGTTCCACGTATTCAAATTTCGGTGATTTATTTGATCGTCAAAAGGAAGAAGGTTTAAAAGCAATATCTCAACCCGATAAAGATCATCATTCGGACATAAATCGTCCCAGAGTTTTTCACCGTCAACGATTTCTTGTATCTCCTAAACCTCAAAGGAGAGATTCTTTACCAACCTGGTTACCTTCCATACAACAAGAGCAATCATATGATGTTAGGAAACCATTAAGAAGACATGTACTTAATGAAGTAAACCACCAACTCTCACCAATAATAACTGCAAGTCAGTTTGTTGAGACAGTCTCCCTTGCAAGTAATAAGATGACGGCGGCAAATCTTCAACGTCATAATCAGTATCAAGTTTCTGAAAGAACTCAACCTTCACACCATTCATTTCTTTCACCTAATACATCAAATAATTTGCCATGTGACGGTTCTCTGAATAGTTCGGTTCATGATTTCAACCACATGAAAACCCAAACTTGTACGAATGAACATGATATTTTATTACGTCGACAAGAAATAGTTCTTCAGCCTTCCGAAACATCAGTCGCTGCACAGCTTGCCACTTTGATGAATTCTAATCATACTATTTCTCCTTATACCCGTACTTTACAACATCTCACCTTCCGGTCTTTTCCGCATCCAGCAAACAAGACATTAACTAATAAACGAAAGTTGCCCGGTAAAGTTGTGGTCAAAAGAAATATTTTGAAATTTCCTGGTTTGACAACTGGGTTCGGACAATGTAATAATAATGTTCACGATCCAGATAATAAAGATTTTAATGAAATTTAATCAAGGGAATTACTTACTATATTTAACAATATCTATATTTTTTTTTAAAAAAAAAAGGTAATAAGAAAACTTATGTTTCAAAAAGATTGAAATATTACACAATAATAATAATAAAATAAACAGAGTTAAACGAATGTGTTACGGCCGAAAAAAAGATAAAAAGATTCTAAATTGGATTGTCAAAATTTTGAACCCCGAATAGATCCCATCTTTGTTATAAGCCCAAACTTAATCTCTAAACCAAAGTTATTAATACTAATCAAAAAGACGGTAAAAAAATAAGGAAAAAAAAAAATTATTATACAAGGAAATAAGAGAAAAAAGTGTAAAAAAAAAAAAAAATAAAAATAAAAAAAAAAATAAAAAATCACCAGCTTATGGTTTTAAATTGGGTTGATTTGTTTAGATGTTAATGAGCTATTTTTTCTCTTTTTCTCTCGCACTAGTCAGAAGATAAGGTCAAGTTCTCCGTCAGATGACTTTTTATTATTATAATGAAAAATGTGGATTAAGAATATATCATCGCGCGAATCGTCCATGATTAAAAATAATCAATTTCATTTATCATAATACTTACTGAATCGTCCATATGATCGGGTCTGTTAATTATGTAATGGTCAGATTTGAATTAAATTTTTAATAACAAGATTTCATAAATAATTCAACTTACGCATCGCCTAGTGTTGCCTGCAACGTCTTGACACGACCCTTCAACTCATTTTTTTGCATTAAAAGTTGTTGAATATATTCCACAGCTAAAATAAAATTTTTTTTAAAAAAGAAAATTTTAAGTTAAAAGATAACTGATACGTATAATAACTATAATTCATCAAACACAATTGTACAAAAAATTTTAAATATAATAATTACATTTTTGAAGAATTAACGCCTCGCTTCGATGACATTGACTAAGTGTAGGTACAATTTCGACCAATTGATCGAAACCTAAACGAATGTTCTGTCGTCTTTTCTGTTCAGATGCGATATGATTTGCTTTTTTTTCTGCTTCAGTTAATAGTTCGTGATGACCTTTTTTTCCTCTTCCTCCACGATTCTGTGCTGGCGATAGAGGTTGAGAGTTATTCGATTCTGATGTAGATGCTAATTTTGGTGATGCTGGCGTTGCTTCCGTTGTGGAAGAAGATCCAGCATTTAATCCAGATGAAGAGACGGTAGGAATTAATGTGGATATCGTTGAGTTATTTCCTTCATCTGACTTGGATTCATTTAATGATGCATTAGCATCATTCGAATTTTTAAGAGATTTTCGCCGAGAGGGCGTACGTTTTATTGCTGGTTTTCCCACTGAATTTGATCTATGCGGTGATGGTGATCTTTGCCTCCTATTGTTAACCGTCATTGGTTCAGATTTTATGTACAATGCAGAGGAATGGTTATTCGCGATGGATTTGACTTTTCCACCGTGAATTAATCCATTATTTAATGCCGGTATCTGATGATTTAAAGGATATTGTTGTTGTTGTTGAACATAATTATCATGAACATGAGAAGCTGTTTGATGAAAATTAGCTGTCTGAGAGTATCCATTATTTGCCGGTATAGTAATGGAGGCAGAGCCAATGGGTTGATATATATAACCGCCAGCTCCGGCATAACCAGAATTAGGATCAAAGTTAGAACCAAACCCTGTTTGAAACCCTCTAGACAACTGCATTGAAGTCTGAGGGTCTATGATCGTTTTCATTAATATAAAAAAATGGATTTGTTGTAAGTTCCGTTTTTCAAGTAAATTTCAAAAAAAAAATTTGTTATTAAATTTGAACATACCGTGAAATGAAATGCTCGTTTGACCATGGTGTGTGATATCCATCATATGGTTCGGAGGACCCTCAGTTGCGATTGTATCAAGAAAATCGGTCATAATTTTTTGATCTTGTTCCGTTAATAGACCATCGTGTTGCGAGTATCTGAGCATATTCTCCGAGTTAGCCTGGAAGGACATTGCATACGCAGGAGTAAAGTTAAACGCGAGTTCAATTCGACAAAAACTTATTTTAATTATTTATAAATATTTATTTAAGTCGAAGGAGTTTTAAATTAAGAGAGGCGGTCAAGGGTCGTTGAATTATTAACTAAGTATAATTATAAAAGTAGTTTGATTTATTTGGTTTCGTAGACAATTGATGTTTGTGAGGGTTGATCATCTCCAAATATAAACGCTTCTTCCTTATGAATCTCACGCCTCTGTACTACGAGAGAAGGACATACTTGAAAGATGACGTTTGGTTTTATCATGCGAAAGACCAAGTACCAGGTAACTGGAATGACATCTATAACCGATAAAAGTTAAAGATCTAGTGAACGATTGATCTTTACGTTAGTACCCATGTCTTCCGCACATGCAATTTCACCGGAAGTGCAAGAATATTTAGATCATGTTGTTTCCAAACTTCCAGAAAGTAGTTGGTCTTTTATGCAAGGATTTTTGATAGGCCAATTATCGATAGTGATTTTGGTGTTCGCTTTTATAAAGTATATGTTACTGGAAGACGAAAAAAAAGATAACCCTCAGGTTCTTATTTATTTTCAAATCGGTTTATCTTTATTTCATAATATATACAATATAGATATGTATATATATTTGCAAAAAAAAGCCCCCCGAGTAAAAATGTAAATTGAACGAAAAATAAATGAGTAATGTTTTTTAGCGCCCTCTTCCCATTCCTACGCCTCTGAATCCGAAAACAGATTCATCTTCACCGGTATCAACTATTTTATCAAAAACATTATATGATCCAACTTATCACCCACCTGAATCAACGGCATGGCTTAATGTCCTAATTGAACAGGCCATATATCAGTATCGAGATGATGCTAAAACGGACAATCGTTTGGCACGCATGGTTGATGAAATATTGAACGGTGGTGTTAGACCTGATTTTGTGGTAAGTCTTCGATCAATAATAATAATAATAATAAATAATTGATTCTAATGGTATTAATATATTACGAATAGGGTCCCATAGAGGTTACGCGCCTTGATATTGGAGAGGAGTTTCCTGTTTTTAACAATGCTCGAATAAGATCGGCGGATTCCATAGGAAGAATGGTATTTATTTAAATTTATATCTCATATTATCATTGAGAACATTATTATATTCATCCTATTTTTTTTTTTTTCTATTTTTTTTTTTTTTTTTTGATATTTAATATAATAAGAGAGTTGAGGTTGATTGTGACTATTGTGATCAAATCACACTTGGAATTGATACTCAAATACTTATTAATTGGCCAAAACCAAAAATAGCCGTATTACCAATTTCATTAGTATTATCTGTGATCAAATTTTCTTCTACGGTAAGATAAGTTCCTGATATAATTGTGGAATATTTGGGAAGCCATATTTTGTGAATTTAATATATTCAATTCGTATTATACCAGAACATTGACAATGCCGCAACTAAATAATTTATACTAGGTAACTTTGGAGATAGTGACTACTCCGGAATCCTCTTTTATTAAAGTCTCTATACTACCGGATTTCATTCTCGAATTTAATGTTCAATCATTAATAGGTTCACGATCAAAACTTGAGGATATTCCTAAAATCACTCATATCATAACATCTAAATTAAGAAACGCGTTTTGTGAAAAGTTCGTGCATCCTAACTTTAAAAAAATCAAAATACCTGATTTGTGGAGCAGAAATAAGAAATCTAGGAATTCAGAAGATCTTTCATCAGTAAATCCACAAAACGCTTTTGGAAGTGAAGAAATAATTGACGCAACTACAAATTCTTCAACACTACCTGAAGGATTGAGACATCGTATGGGAGATTATCCGTTAGTACAGGATGCTGTGTTTCTCACACATGGTGTAAACACCACGACACAAGCTCAGACGTCGTCTTGTTGAAACGAAAAATTGATTAATTTAGTCAAATTAAATAAATTCTAATTAATACATTAAGAAGGAAATTTTGTTTGAAGTTTGGCTTAATCTTCTTTTTATTATAATAAACGATTTTTTTTTATATATATATATATAATATAAGTATGTATGTAGATGCAAATTTAGAAAGGTTTACATTGTGATAATTTAAAATTTTGGTATTCGTTTTTATTAAAATAAAGAGAATAACAAATTAATAATATATTTTGATAACTTATTACAATTTGTTGAAAGCAGCTACATCAACACTTTGAACATAATCTTCAAATCCGGTGATTTTTTCTTCCAAATCGTCTATTATTGATAAAATCATCAATCAATCAATTTCTTTTTAAAGAAAATCAAAAGTTTAAAATCAAAAGAAGATTCAATAATACAACTTACCAACACCAACTTTATCATCTACCACGACACACGTAATTTGCAATTTATTGATACCATAACCAACAGGGACAAACTTAGAAGCGCCCCACGTGAGACCATCTAACTCAATACTCCTTACGGATTTTTCCATTTCAGCTAAATCCGTAGTATCGTCCCAAGGTTTAACATCTAGAATAACCATACTTTTAGCAATAACTTTTGGTTTGGCAGCCTTTTTACGTTGATATTCAGCAAGCCTTTCCGCCTTTTGTCGTTCAACTTCTTCGTCTTCTTCATTATCAGAACCAAACAAATCAATATCACTATCGTCATCTTTCTTTCCTTCTGCTGAAGTTTCAGGTCCATAGGATGATGCATCCTTTTTTGTACCAGGAAGCGAAAGAAATGAATCAGAATAAGAGGCAATTTGATTATACCATCGAGTTGCGTGAGGAAACTTGGTAGGGTCTGGAACTTTATGATTCAAGGCTTCGAATATGGCTACATCAGCTTGGGATGGTACGAAACTAATATGGTTGTATTATAAAATTTTTTTTTTCGTTAATTGATTAGGAAAACATTAAATTTACTTGTAAAAACATTGATTGATCTAAGGTATCAGAAAATTTGGATAAAAGGTTTCTTCATAAAGTGGTGTCTTAATTCCACTTCGGAAACACGGACCAATTAAATAAATCATCATCAAATGAAATCAAAAATCCATTCTTTTCAATTTATATAAAAAAAAAAAAAGCATACCCTTCAATATAAGATTTATCTTGCAAAAAGGTGTTAAGGGCTTTAAGACCTGTGTCGTTATCAAGTTGAGTGAAGCCCTGAAACAAGAATACAATAAGGTTATTTAAATCCGATATAATCAAATGAAAAAAATTAACGTAATGTATCATTGCTTTAACGCTAGTAATTTTCTCATTCACTTTATGTTCCCTCCTATTCTTTTCTTAAACTTCAATTAGATAAACAGTATATACCATTTTGTCAAGTTTATGCTGATTAGTTTGGATGAAAAAAGACGTAAAAAGTAGAAGTCCAAGTCAACGTTAAAAATTTTTTTTTTTTTTTTTTTTTTCCTGATTGTAACTTTCGATCAAAAGAAGCAACCGTAAAATTTCCGAAAGATAAATTTTTGAAGGTTATTAAATTTTTAATTTCGCCAGATTTACCAAGTGATTTTAAAACTTAATTCCAGCCAAAATCAATTAAATATTTATTAATATCCTTTATATTATTATATTTAATTCTTTAATTATCTCATTTATAATAACATATATAAAAATATGATTTAATATATAATTTTTTTATTAATTTTATTAGACAATATTAAAATTAAGTTTTAAAAAATTATTATAATAATCTATTAAAAAAATTTGTATGTTTACATTAATTAAATCCTTTAGTTATTTATAGAAACTATAAAATTTCTTAAAAAATATAATAATTAAAATTATTTTTCATGATAAATTTTATAATATTATATTATACTTAAATAAATTTTAATAAGATTGCTAAAGGTTAATGATAATTTTTTAAAATTACAAATTTTTAACTTTTAAATTTTATTTAATGTATTTTAAAAATAAATTTATTTTAATAGAATATATATTTAAAAATAAATCAATAAAGAATTTATAATAAATAAACAAATAAATTTATTGAAAAATTCTATATTTAAATAATAAAATCAAAAAGATATAAATTAAATTAAAATATTATTTATTTACAATTAAATAATTTATTTAATATTATAATCCTTTAAAAAATAAATATAAAATTCTTATATACATATAAAAAATTATAATATTTGAATATTTAGTAGTTATAAATAAAATTTATTATATTTGTTATATTAAAAATCTAATAATAATATTTTAAGATTTTAAAATTAATACTTTATTAAAAAATATATTATTATTTAATATTTATTAATTTTAATTTTAATTTATTTATTTATTAATAATTAAATATAATTAACATTATAAATAATAATTATTCATATGGGTTCTTTGCTAGGAAAATGAGGTTCTCAGACCTTCTGACCGAAATCAAGATTTTTGCTTTATATTAATGTGTAATATATAAACTTTATTTGATTAAATTTTTATAGTATATTACCTTATTACCGGAATGATCAATTTGAGTTTAAAAATTTGTGTAACACTCAACCTTAAAATCTAAAAATAGATTTGGAAATGATCAGCACTTATAATATGATGTTCGTTGAACCTTAAATAAAAAAAAATTTTTTTTAATTCTACTTAAGAACAAACTCCATTTCGGCTTGGAAAAGGCTAGGTAAGATCTTTTTTTTATTTATTTTTGTTTTGGATTTAACTTTTAAGAATATTAAAATAATATTCTTTTATTTTTTGAATCACAGTCCTAACAATTTTTCAAAGGAGTTTGTTTTTCAGGAATGCCGGCTAGGTAAATTGGAGGAGGTTGTTACTATTTTTAATTTTTTTAATTAAAAAATCATTTCTAACTCTAACTTTTCTAACTATTTGTAGGTTTGACTTTTTTTAGATAACTGAACTTTAAAGGTAATTGGAAGGAACTGGATGCTTTTTTATTTTTTTTTAATTCTACTTAAAAACGAATTCCATTTCAGTTTGGAAAAGGCTAGGTAAAATCTTTTATTTCTTTTTGCTTTGGATTTGACTTTTAAGAATATTAAATAATATTCTTTTATTTTTCGAATTACAGTCTCCAGCAATTTTTCAAAGGAGAGTTTGTTTTTCAGGAATGCCGGCTAGGTAAATGGGAGGGTGTTGCTATTTTTTAATTTTTTTAATTAAAAAATCATTTCTAACTCTAACTTCTCTAACTATTTGTAGGGTTGACTTTTTTTGGATAACCGGACTTTAAAA